TAGGTAGCTTAGCCTTTCTTAACATACACCTCACTTTCTCCATAATGGTTCTATTGATTCTTTCAGCCACACCATTATGTTGTGGGGTTCCAGGTACAGTCTTCTCATGCCTGATTCCATGATCAACACAGTAATTCTTGAATTCATGAGAAGTATACTCCCCTCCATTATCTGTGCGAAGACACTTCAAAGGTTTGCCAGCCTGTCTTTCCACTATAGCATGAAACCTTTTGATGTACTGTAAAACTTCGTCCTTCGTTCTCAAGAAATACACCCACAATTTTCGTGAAGCATCATCAATAAACATAAAAAAATATCTGCCACCACCGAGGCTCTCCACTTCCATGGGTCCACATACATTAGAATACACCATTTCCAACACATTCTCCTTCAGCTTCGAGGTTTTGCTGAAAGATACTCTATGATGCTTCCCAAAGAGACAATAATCACAAGGATTTAATTTTCAATCTTTGAAAAACGGGATGAGGGACTTTCTTGCCAAAATTTGCAATCATTTTTCACCAATATGAGCCAGTCTTTTGTGCCACAAATTTGATGAAGCATCATCCTCGACTACATTTAGTCCACCCTTGATCAGCTTCACTTGAGTTCTGTACAGTGTCGATCTCACTGTGCCTCTAGCAGCTAACAATGATCCTTTGGTAAGCCTCCATGTGCCGCTACCAAAATTGTTAGTATAGCCTGCTAGATCTAATGCATGCACAAAGATAAAATTCTGACGTAAGTCAGGTACATGTCGCACGTCCTTCAGTGTTATTGTGCACCCAATATCAATTTGAATGCACACATCACCAACTCCCACAATATTTACAATACTGTTGTTGCCCAGCTTTACTCTACCAAAGTCTCCTTCTTTGTATAGAGAAAAGAATTCCTTGTGAAAGGTTGCATGGTAAGATGCAGCTGAGTCAATGACCCATTCAACACATGATTCTGCAACATGACACTCTTCTTCTTCTTCTTCCACAGAGAGCAACACCACTTCCACATTGATCATAGGGGTTGCGGTATTTTTATCGTTCTCTGATTTGTTGTTCCTCCGATCTCTGTTCTTCCAAGCTTTGCAGTTTCTTTTGATATGCTCTTCTTCACCGCAGTGATAACACTTGAATTTTCTTCTAGGTTGAGATTGTGATTTATCTCTGGATTTGTTATTCCGACCTCTGCTTTTACTTCTCCCCCTGGTTTCTGTGACCAGGGCTTGGGAGCTGCTTGCCCCGGAATCTTTTCTTCTTGTTTCTTCATTAAACATACTGTCTTTGACTTGAGTCAAAGTCAGTTTTCCTTCAGGAGCAGAGTTGCTCAACGAGACCACCAAAGTCTCCCAGCTATCCGGCAAAGAACTCGAAAGTAACAACGCCTGCAGTTCTTCATCAAGTTTCATTTCCATGGTAACAAGTTGGTTTACCATGTCTTGAAACTCATTCAAGTGTTCTGCAACTGATCTTCCATCCCGATATTTTAAATTCACAAGCTTTCTAATAACGAAAGCTTCATTTTGTGCAGTCTTCCTTTGATACATCTACTCAATTTTGTTCCATAGAGTATGGGCTCTCGACTCTGTGGCAACGTGGTAGAATATGCTGATGTCCACCCACTGTCTGATTAAACTGACAGCCTTTCTGTGTAATTTTTTTCCAATCGTCATTTTTCACATCATCTAGCTTGATGTCTCCCTTTTCTACAGGATCATACAAATCTTTGTAGAAAATTATGTCCTTCATTTTTGGCTTCCAAATGGAGTAATTTGTTGCTGTCAGCTTCACCATGGTACCCACGTTCTCCTTTATTTAATTTACACTGGTTGATACAGAGCCCAAGTGGAGCTCTGATACCACTTGTTGGGCTCAGATGCACAAATGCAGAAAGTGTAAATTAAAACACCAATGTGAAATGTTGAATAATAATAATAATCTCAGCAACTCAAGAATGACAAAAAGAAACCTCTTGCAATAAAACAGGAATAATTCTTTTCTGATGTATAAAATCAAATTAAACTGCGACCACAGAGCATACTAAAAATATCGAAAATAAATAAAATATGCAAGAAAAATGACACCAAGATTTAACGTGGAAAAATTTCCAATGTAGAGGAAAAAACCACGGGACAATCTTCGAACAATTCAACTATATTTTCAAGATAATTACAATAACTTTTCACACTCACCTACACTAGAAATGTAAAATATAGTGACCCAGTGAGACCCCACTCCTATTCAAATATTACCAATAAGGAGTAATAGAGATGATATCCAACTCGGTGTATTTTTCCCACACTCACAAGATTTACTCAAATACTCTATTTTTTTTCTCACTAAAAAATTAACACTCCAGAAACTGAATGTTGTTTCTGTTCCTTATTTTCTTTCTCGCTTTGGTGTGCTCTTCTCTGTTGAATACCGCCTCTATTTATAGAGGGGGAGTGCAATGAAATTCAACAAATTTGGCTGCCTATACTGCTGCCCCCTTTTTCAATTATGGTAGGCACAC